CGCTGCTGCCGGTGCTGTCACTGATGTCCTGGTGTGCTTCGAAGAGCTCGACATGACTGTCCACCTGCCTGGTTCGGTTCTCCACCAGTTCCACCATCTGACTTACAATCTGGATCTTCTCATCACCCAGCTCCTGGCTTCGGATCAGGGCCCTCTGGATGCAGTGCAGCACCCGCCTCTTCTGGGTGCCGTCCGTCTCACGCTTGAACTTCTCATAGTAGTCATCCAATTCTTTCAGGATCTCTACAAACAAAAATAGTCTGCATTACACACCTGCTAGAAACACTGGTAAGGAAACCCAATACCAACTAAACAAGCTTTTTTTTTAAATCAAAGTCTCACTTGTAATTTAACACACACACACACACACACACACACACACACACACACACCCCAAGGGGCAGAAACAGCAAAGACCAAGTTTCCCCGTGTAAAAATCTTCCCACTTAGCAAAGTTGAAAGGTGATGAATGAAGTTCAAGCTTAGGCAAAGTGCTTCAACCTGAACTACTACTTCGCATTTCAAGTATATTCTCACAATTTCTGTTCAAATATCTTTGTAATAACTTAAAAGCTTTTATTCTGTATTTCTTTGTATCCAGGGTATTGCTCTCCACCTTATCTGAGAAAGTCTCACTGAATCTAGAACAGGGAAGAGTCCAAGGATCCTCCTGTCTCCACCTCCCCAACAGGGATCACAAGCACTTTCCACGTGAACCCCAGGCATCTAAGCTCATATCTCCCCAGCCCCTTGCATTTGAGCATCTCAATGTCTGAATACTCTACAGAGAAGGGCTGTAGACTAAAGACTGTTATCTGTCCTCTATGGCCACTCTAGCATGCTGTTCTGTAGTACTGAAAACAAGAATGCTTTGGTCACAAGACAGCCTTGCTTTAAAACAAAAGGGGACAGATTTTACTTTGCAACTCACAATACTCCAATCTACTACTTACAGTAATTTAAAAACAACAGTCTCTCTGTATAGCCCTGGCTGTCCTGGAACCAACAGAGATCTGCCTGCCTCTGTCTCTGAGTACTCAATAATACCTAGTATTAAATTTAAGCCTTCTTGGGAAGGCTAAAAACAAGCTCTACATGCTTATAAAATGTCATCTGGCAAATTCAATTAGACAATTTCCCAAGAAATAAAGCTGTTAAGTAATGTAACAGAAATCAAAGAATTCAGCTCAGTATACTCCGCAATTCCAGGACTATGAAACTGAGGCAGAAGCACAAGTGTGAGGCCAGCTGGGTTACACATCTGGACCCTGTCTCAAAAACAATTTTTCCTCTGCAGACAAGAGTCTCTGGAGACTTGGGTGTTTTCATGATTTGGCTTTGTGGTATCCCCACTGCCACAGCCCAGGAGGGATTTCTGCTTGAGGTGTAATGGCTTTACAAGAAGTTCTGAAGATTGCCCTCATCCACCAGCCGCCACAAAGCCGCCAAAGCCTTACAAAGCCGCCAAAGCCTTACATAATCGCCAAGCTCATCTGTGTGTGCTTATACCCAAGTGTGGTGACACTGTGTCTTGTTGGTAGAGACCCTTTTTCACTGAACATCAAACCAGCCCAATTGAGGTTGATAATAACAAGAAAGTAGGGGAATAGGTGGGTGTCTGTAACAGCTGACAGACAGGGGAAACCCTATAAAGTGGTTGGCTTCGTAGTTCTTGAAGACTGCAAAGACTCTCAGGCCAAAGATGTCAAAGGGTGCTTCAAGTGCCAGAAATGAACAAATAAAATCATTGGTCATTTAAAAAATAAAAGTGATTAGAAGAGTCTAATTATGTCCACAGAGAATTCCTAGAGCTATTTCCCTCAAACAGTAAGTAGGATCAGATTTTTCTTGAGACCCCTTTGCCACCTCTAAGGCAACCACTGGAAATGCTTTAACTAGGAAGGACACTTGAGTGGATGGGCTGGAAGCCAGAAGGGATATCTAGAAAATTAACACACACCACCTTCTCTCCCGACAGTAAACATAGGAACTCGGCCAGAGGTGCCAGGGCAGCCAGGGCTACATATGCAGACCCTGTCTCAAAACAAAACAACAACAAAAACCCTATAAGACAACAACACAAGGCTGACACTGAATTGTCTCAACAGGTAAGGCTATGTTCAGGGTCTGGAGGTATTCTAGGAAGAACCACACAAGTCACTGTCCCCACAGCAGGATGAACACTACCAGTCTCTAAATAGATAAGTCGTGACTTATTAAAGATAACCCAAAATAGGCATTTTGGGGGTATGACAGCACATACCTTTAATTCCAGAGGCAGAGAATAAGTGAATCTATAACGATTCCAGATCATCGAAGGCTACACAGTCAGACCTTATCAGCAGACAAATGAACAAAGATTTGTGTTATTTAATCAGGTTTGTTTTTGTTTTGTTTTTTTGAGGCAGTCCCATGTAACCCAGCAGACGGTAATATGCTACACAATCAAAGCTGGCCTTGAGCTGCTTGCTGATCTTGCCTCCACTGGGATTACAGGCATGTGTCATCACACCCAGGCATCTTTCTAAGATAATACTGGTATTTTGTAGAAGATCAATTCTATCCGTTGCTAAATTAAATTTAAACAACAGCTTCTTTCAGCTTTAGGTGAAGCTTGTGGAGAAAAATCCCATTAAAAACTTACCACGAAGTTACTGTGGGAGCCACACAACAGCAGATTCTTAGTTACCCTAAGCAAAGTATTCGATCAACAAAACCACCGAAAGCAACAAACAAGGAAGACACCGCAGCTCAGCTTCGGACTGCTCCTGGACCACCATAAGACACCAGCGAGGACAGAGGTGGTGAATAAGTGAGACTGCAGTACCATCTAGTCTGTCCAATTACTAAAAAGCTATTTTAATTTCTATAAGGTTTTTGATAAGACACTGACTGACTGGTTCCAAGGGGGTATTTTTTTTATAACATCTGAAAAATAACTCAGGCAACAAATTCCATTTACAACAACCAATCTATAACCCCTTCTTCCAGACTCGCCTACACCCGAAGCACTGGGCGACCGTCAAAAAAGCTCGATCTGCCACCGCAGTTCTGAGCAAGGACTTATTCTACAGCTGGCTCGACACACCGGCCCCGGCGCCGGGGACGCAGGCGGGGCTCCAGGTGGACAGTACCCGGACAGCGACCCGCAGTCCCGACAAAGGCGCTCCCCGTTCACTTACGCCTTCCGGAAATGCCAGAAGTGGCCTGAGCTGCCCGCGCGGCGCCGGGAAGGGG